AGTCACATCACCTGCATAATCTGGTCACATCTCCGATGACCCCCCTGCCAATTGAAGTTGCTGGTGATTCTGTCTGCCATTTTTTTGCTCCTGGTTGTCCTCCCACATTTAATTCGTGAGTCAGCTTCATCACTTCTGTTGGTACCATGATCTGTTTAACATATTTGCTGCCATGTGCCCCACTGGTGGGTCACAACCAACTTTTAGTTGTGGATCACTTGACACAGAGGTGGGTCACATATTATAAGTGGCTTCAATGAGTTAATTAAACATAGTATAGTTACCCATGTAAATATTAGACACCTGGATCAAGTAAAAAAAGTGTGGTTGGCATTAGGGTAGGAATTATTAATATTAGTGGTGGCAGCGAATGTGTTAACTTCATCAGTATAACTGCCTCGATATATCCAGTACAGCACTCCCTTATGATCCTCCATTCTGTAAGTCCCTTTCCCCTTTGTTTTGTGCTCGACGTTCTCCCAGGCACTGTCCCAAAGTGTCTGCAGTGAAGTGTCTTTATTCTGTGCTTCCTTCAGTTCCTGTAGATCTACATTCAGGATGTCATCTTTTGAGAGGTACAGAGTTTGATGTATTGCTTGCTCTTCTTTACTTGAACTCTTGTGGTGACTGCAGATGCCTGATCAGTCTCTTTTCTGTCTGGTTACTACAAATTTCTTTTGCCTGGTATTTGCCCAATCACTAAATTGTAGATGGGTGCCTTCATGCACATGGCTTCAAGGTCTCCCACATAATATAGAGTTCCACCCTTATTCTTGCTATGGTAAACTATCTCACTGTCCCATCCATCAGCACACACAGATGTACCTTGCCCATCATATGATCATCAGATACTAGAGTGGTTCTCATTGCTGCTCTACTGCACCCAATGTATCGTGGGAATTTCACTTTCTTTTCCATAACATAGCCTTCACCTACTGGCATGTTGGGATTTGTTGGAATCCCTTGATGTCTGTCACATGCTCCAATCACCATTGGCACTGTTGATCAATTTGCTAACTTGAGCAGACCATCAGCCATGCATTGTTTAATCAGGAAAATAGCAATTCCTTCTTGTGGTAAATCTTGACAAGTTGTCTCTGTTCTGTTTCTTCTGACAGCACCATCCATGGTCATAGTCACTCTTTTCTTGTTTCTTGCCAGCACTATCTTTGTAGGTAGCTCCAGCTGCTTTATGTTGATATTCCTTTTGTTGTTTATTGGTGACAGACTTAAATTTTCTATCAATGTGCCCCATTTTACAACAAGCATAGCATCTCTTTGCTTTCTGTTGAGATTTCTGCTACTGCTTGTTAATGACAGACTTGCACTCACTTACAATGTGCCCCATATTATAACAAACACAGCATCTCTTCTCCTTCCTATTTGTTGACTTCTTGTCACCTTTGGTGGCATCCTGCTTCTGGTTAGCCACCCTTGGTTTCAACTTTAACTGTTTATTTTTGGACTTGCCAGTTATACTCCCTCCATGGGCTTCCATATACTGTTCTACCAGTTTGATCATCTCATCCACATCTTTTGGTGCTCTTTCCTTTAGGAACAGTAGCATGTCAGTGGAGCACGTGATCATGAACTGTTCACATATTAGTAGATCTGCCAGTCCTTCAAAACTATTTTCACACTAGGTCATGTCAGTTCACCTTGCCAGGGCCGGCACTACCATTAGGCCAACTAGGCAGCCGCCTAGGGCACAGACCTCAGAGGGGCACAGTACTGACCTTTAAGGGTCACAGTTTTATACAAATTAGTTGTTTTAAGGGGAGGTACAAGTAGCTGGCCTTGCCTAGGGTGCAAAATAGTCTGGTGCTGGCCCTGCACCTTGCAAAGTATCACCATAGACATGCCACAAACTGAAATATAGTTTCTCCAGTGTCAAGTTTGACTTCTCTGAACTTCCAATGAAAACCATACTCAGTAAGCTCATAATGTTTCAACAAGGCTATTTTTAACTTATCATAGTCCATGATATCTTCTGATGTTATGCCTGCATACACTTGTAGGCCTTTTCCCGTGAGAAGTGGGAAATATATTAAAAACAAGTCAAACATATGTAGAAAAATTCATTACACTATCTGTTATCACAGTTCTATTGAGAGCTTTGAATAAATTGTCTCCTTTTCATCAGAGTCCACACAAGCAGGTTCAATTACTTTAGAAAACCCTTTAACAAGACAAATTTTTCTCTTCTGTCTCTGTTATTATTATACAAGTGGTGAAACTCACTTTAGAAATTGCCCATTATGGCTAATTCAAATAAAGTCTAACTTCACTTTTACTTTCACTAAATTACTTACTTGTACTAAGTTGGCTACCTATACATATATATATTGCCTGACTAAGACATACAATTTTCTACAATCTATGAGATGTTATGATCTAACAATACTCACTTAAAGCCATGAAAAATTCAGAAGGTTCTAGTAATATGATATCAATTCACAACAGTTGAACTACACAACAAATGATTCGTAAACAGTTACATAAGGAAACTTACTAGAACTATCACTTCTAAAATAACTTACTTTAATGCTCACACAATATAAACTAAATAATACTCTTGTATTAAACTTAAAATGAACCATAGTGTATATCTAAAAAAAACCTAAAGTACAGTATTTTCCATTTTGTCAAATTTTAAATTTAATTCATTTTCTCCAGCTTCACATCCCGCCCCCCAAGTGAAAAATTCTGGATTCAACATTACTTGTAATTTGATCCTAAACAATATGCATAACTTTGAACTAATTTCCAGAAGGATGTTATTAGATGAAACATAAAATTATTTCTAAAATAAACTGCCCCTTTTGGCTCAGCAATAAGTCTGTGGGCTTATAACGCTACAAACCAAGTTTCGATACCCGTGATGGGTACCTCACAGATAGCCCATTATGTAGCTTTGTGTTTACCTACAAATAAAAACTAAAATAAACTTTATTAGAACTAGGATTTCTGGCATTCTATGATTACATCATGTCTAGGACCAAACAGCTGTGGTGGCTTAAAAACTGTTCTTGAATAATAAGGTACCTTAAAACATAATTAATATGTTGAAATACTATCACCATGGTTTACAAATCCCACTTCATGACGAGTATTTTGAAGATCACTACTAAGGTACATATGTGTACCTAATTAGCAATATAATATGACTACTGAATTCTAACTTTATGCTTACAAATCTGAGGCCCCAATACGTTTCCTAGGTCTTATAAAACTATGTTACATTACTCAGATTTCAAAAATTCTCAGAATATAATTCTCATGGTAAAACTTATGACATTACATGTTTTGCAGTCACCTATCAATGGACTTGTGTATCAACTGTCTGTAATGCTTCAGAGATAAAAATCGAAGTAGAATTTCCATATCAAAAAGATAATAGCTTTACCTCTCCCACAGCAAACATTAGAAACTTCATAATTAATATTTAATTAAATATTATTATACAAATATGCTACTCATGATGAAACAGCTAGCAGAAAAGATTAAAACGTTTTTAATGCTTGAAACTACAGAAGTGTAATGTTATTATTATTAGTATACAGGGTGGCCCAAAATTATCCATTATCATTCTTATTTTAGCATTTAATAATTTAACTTAGGAAATACAACCATGCAGTTTTCAACATTTTGTATGGTTGTATTTCCTTAGTTATTTAATTTAAAATTTTATAATAGGAGACATAATTTGGACCACCCTGTATTACAGAACTTAACTGTTTGTTCAACAAAAAATTCAACCATTAAAGGTTTGTCTCCACGTGGTCATAAAAACTGACAGTTTTAGTTCATATTTAAACAGTCTAAATTCTAACTGCTGATAATAATTAGGGAGAGAGCTTTGTTGTAGATAATACCACAGATGAGTACACTTTACTACTAATTAAACCTTGTTATTTAGAACACATGTTGATTTCCTGTAACATTTTAAAACTTGTCTTTCATTCCTGATTATAAGTTTTGGTTTGGTTTGTTGTTAAGCAGAAAGCTACACAATGGACTATCTCTGCTCTGCTGACTAATGGTATTGAAACCCAAATGTTAGCATTATAAACCCTCAGACTTAAAACTGAGTCACCAGGGTGCCTAACTATATGTTTTAATGAAAAGTTTAGGAGTTTAAAGTAACTAAACCAGATGTTCTTAATCACCATCAACCTCTCATAAGGGTGTAAAAAAAAGATACAAATAGAACAAGTTAACCTTCTTTCAGAGATGATTTTTGCAGTATGATTGCAATGGTAGAATGGTTTTCTTTAGGGCTTGTCTCCTAATAGCTTCATTGAGATGCCAATGTTTCAAACTCTGAAGAAGAACATTGGAAAGGAGATGAAACAACCTATCAGAACAAGTCAATGCTACTGTTTTTTGTCGATGAACTTGTGTAAATTTGGATAAATATGGCCTATCTAGAAATGATCTAGTAGTTTATTTCACAGAAATACATCAGTATTAAATAATATTTGCTACACAATTATTTTTGAAGTGAGATTATAACAATACTACACACTGGATAAACAATTTGAAAGAACATATTATAATATTGTTGCGTCAACGAGGTCACATGACTAGTATCACGCCACGTCATTCTCGAACATTCACGTCTTTTCCTTAAATCTCGTGATTCTTCTAGATATATTGTAGTCTTGTATATATAAGACCGGCCACGAAGCGACAGAAGTAATGAGTAATTGAATGTATGGGGACAAAATATTGTTGGCCACGTGAGATGTGAGTTATAGCGTTTGATTATAGAGTGACTGTTGAAATTAAGTGTATCGGTAAAGTTGAATTCGGAAAGAATAAACCAGTTTATTTAAGAAAGGACTTGTGTCGCTAAAGTTTCGTTGGAATGAATTTACGTAAAATTAACTAACGAACGGAGACGTAACAATATATACATTATAAACATTTTTGAAACTGTTACAAAGGCTTAAACTAACAAAACCAACAACTCTGTTTTGTGTTTCAAAATTCTGCAAACTATTAACCCTTTATTACCATTATAAAACTTTTTCACAACTGGGATACAAACTATACGACTTACACTTCCATAACAATTGATATGGTGGTGGTTCCTATGTGAAACATCTACTCAAAATATACTAAAGAGAAGTTTAAAAGGGCAATCTGACTGTTTACATAATATTTGTGAAACCATATGACCAGGTAGTTTTTCTGTAGAAATTAAAACATTTAATAAATAGTAACGGCAATACTTACTCAAAGATTATAATGAACTAGTATCACAAAATGATGAGATAATTTTAGTATAATGCTACAGTTTTATTAGATCAACTAGATATTTCATTTTTATGTATCTTTAAAAAATAATCATTTATCGTGTGTTTAATAAGTTAAGAATTTCGAAGTGGTTTCTTTCAGTGTTTAAGTAGTGATGGGAAAACAAAGTTGTTAAAAAATTCCCAACATTTATTAAATAGAAGAAACCATTACTTAAAAGTATTTTTGTTCAGTTCATGTATTCATTCAAACACAAATGTTATTTACTGTAATAAGTTAATGAAAGACAAGGCGGGTTTGACCCTTCGTTCCTTGAACCTTCTCGTATGCCAGCCGTGGTTTTTTGTGTGAGGTAAGGATGACATGATTGTTTCTTTCTGGTCTACACTGTTTAAGTCCTCCTATAAATACAGCATACACTGATCAGAAGTGGAAAATTTTTAAACATTCAATGTAAACATATTCCTAATAGAAAGAAAAGAGTAGCTACAAGTAAAAAACCAGATTGGCTTGAAAAAGAGTTTAAGAAAAGCATCATATATTTAAGAAATTTCAATTTATTGGTATTACAGGAGACTTAAAAGATTATAGAACATCAATAAAGTTGGTGAAACAGGAAATTAGGACATCAAAAAGGATGTATGAGAAAATGTTGGCTGAAAATGTAAAAATTAACAGTAATGATTTCTTTAAATACATTAAGGGGAAACAAAATGTCAGGATAGGGATAGGACCCTTGAGGGATGATAAAGAAAGGCTATGTATCTGATGATTATGAGATGGTTGGATTATTAAATTTTACTTTTTCTTTACTTTTTGCTAATGAAGATTTAAGCAGTGTTCCACACCTCTAACAGTT